TAAGGAAGTAACTTTAAATTTGTACCTGTGTGTCCCTTCAGGATTATGCATGTGTTTGAAATCATGAATTTTGAATATAAGGTTTCTAGATTTCTGTAGTGTAATATAATTACAAGAGCAGGCATGTATACAAACTAGTATGGTACTGAGGCTAGAGAGAAAATGTTTGCCAAAGGGGAAATACTTGAGTAGAGTTATGAAAGGAGAGAAGAATCTGCAGGATAAACAACATGGAAAAGGGTTTATGCAGAGCAAACAGTGATCTCATTACTTAACATTATCACTAAGGTACATATAATTTTCTCATTGAGACATTTGAACTAGTTTTGTTGAATTATTAAAATTTCAAGTGGTTTAAAATTCTAGTTTTATCACATAATTGCAAAATACTAATGTAACTTTCTTGGTCTTCAGAGGAGAAAGCTGTGTATTCTGCTGAACTAGAAAAGCAAAAACAGCTTATGGCTGAGTGGAAGGAAAAGGCAGAAAATCTGAAAGGAAAAGTGGTGTCATTACAGGTAGGTCAAAATAGTTTTCTCTTATAAATTTTATTATTCATGAAATAATTACTTTGTAGAATTTTTGTCTTGAAACTAATCTTCAAAGCTATTCATTTAGTAAATGATGTTCAAGTGGCTACTCTGTATCAGATCCTCTGCTGGGGCATGACAGTAAACTATATACTCACGATTTCCCTCGGGTCACTGACTTATAGTATAGAGTAGACACACACAGCAAATGTGAGAAGATAGGATATTTTAATTTTTTAGCACACGTGGGTATTTTAGAGATTTGTAGGGAAAAAAAGCCAAATTAATCTATGATTTTAACTTTATAATTTTCTCTTTTTAACAAAATACACTTGGTACTATATTTCACACGGATTAAAATAATGCGTATGATCCCATTAGATCTTTTTATTTGTAGGTCATCCTTTAAAATATTTTTTATTTATTATTCTATATTTCATACAAACAAAAATCATGAGGTATAAATAAAGTGAATCACTAAGAAACGATACAACACCAAAGTGACTTGCTTTTAGATTTAGGAGCTACTTTTCTAAGTCATAAGTAGATTTTAGCAAAAGCTAGTGAAAAATAATGAAATTCACTTACCTGGCATTAGTGGTGAATATGCTATACAGGAACATTAATGTCCCAAGTAAGAGTAGATATATTTCCTACAAAGTTTTAAGACTTTTATTAAATATTAAGTGGCTGCAAAAAAAATTAGGTAATATGTATAAAATATGGCAGCAATGCAGCAAATACACACGTACTCCCCACCCCATGTGAGAAATAGAATGTCATCCTCTGAAGTCCTTATGCACCCCTCCACATCTCATCTCCTTCCTACCACCTTGTTGATAACTACTATTCTAATATTTTGTGTTTAAAACCCCCTTGTTTTTCTTTATGGTTTTATCACATAGGTTTTCATCTCCGAATGATGTTGTTTGGTTTTGCATATTTTTGAAGTCTTTATAAATGAAAGTTGAACTGTATGTAAATCAAATAATTCTTCTGAGACTTGCTTCTTCAGCTATGTTACTGTGTGTAGATGGTTCATTATTTTTACTGCATGAATGTATAATTTATTTACTCATTTTACT